GGTGATGATCATCGATTCAAATAATTCAAGATAGTCGAACAGAAAATAGAGGTTCACTCACAATTATTTTTCGAAAGCTATACCGAGAGCTATACTGACAAAGGCGGATAATCTCGCGGATAATAGTTCTAGTACGGAAAATAAGTGACCAAATTAACTGAATAAAACGAATAGAAAAGATAAAACTGTGAGTTGAAATCATAAAATTATCTTTAGCGATGGCCATCAACCTTTTCAGATATACCTCATCCACTCATTCGAAAAAGATCAACAGGGTGATTATTATCCTCCACAAAAAATGGAAATACTAAATTCAGGCCTGAAAATAAAACAATATGTTGATTCCCATTGAGCTGAAGCATTGGAGAAGTCTCACCTTTTTTCATAAAACTCATAGTTTATTTCAAACTGCAGTGGAAGTGTGAGGAAAATTTTAAATATTTTATTTTTGATGTTTGTTTGTGACCCTTAAAAATTCCCTGTCACAGTTCCCGATTCTGAATAAGTCTCGGAATAAGTCAGTCGATTAGAGAGTACTTAGTAGTGGAATATTTCATGAAAAAATCAGACGAATCGAATAAGAAGCTGTTGGAGAGTTATGACCAAAAGATGTTTTTGCTAAATCTCATAATTCACCCTCTCGTTCACCCTATATATTGGGCGAGATATTGGGAAAAAAATGTAGAAGACACTTTCTGATGAACATTCGGTATTCCCGGATATTCCCCCTCGTGGTAGGAGTATGTACAGTTCCTCATGACTCAGCCTGTATATTTGAAACTATTTCACCTCCATGTAAGTCAACTCTTTGTTATTCATGATACATATATATATAAAGGTACATTTTCAAAGAATCTCTGTTTGTTATAGTATAATTTCTATAAATTGGACTGAAGATGGACTGGTTGTTTTAAGTCCGAAACATGTCCCTTTTGATTAATTTACATCATTAAAAACTATTAAAAAGTGTGAAGATGTCTTTGAGATTTTATTTCTTTCCTTTGAAGAATTCCACTCGCTATATTATTATACTTTTGTGCAAATAACTTGCTGGACTTCTACCAGAGATTATACAGGGTGTTTCTTAAGTACGTGTAGAAAGGATCATGTTGCTGGCGTCTAAATAGGAAGAAAAGTTCGTATAAACCGAGGTATAAACATATGTCCGAAAGTTATCCGTTTCTGTGATACAGAGTGTCAAAGTTGAATCCTTATTGGAAGAGATCAAAAAATAAGCAGTTACAAATAAGTAAGAATCATATTTTGCCTACATTCCAATGTTGAATGAAGAAGAATATTGAATATTATTGAATGAAAGAAAAAAAATGCACTGGTGTATCTTTCCTGATATTCACTAGAGGCGACTTACGAGCCACATGGAAATAATTCGAATGATCATTTCGAATCCCAATAACTCGAAAACAGTTGCTCGCAGCGACCTCTACCAAGAACGAGACCAAGAATATATTTTCTACACAAAAGTGTTCTAGATATCTATTTTTTACTATTAAACGTTATACAGGTACGCACAAAAAAGTTATAACTTTTCAAAAGACTCAAAAGACATGAAGGTGGCGCGCTACCCCCACGAAAGAGACAAACTAACATATAATTTGATATTGTCATTGAAAAATACCCCCAGATACCAAATTTCATTCCGATATCACAATTATTTTGAAATTCATTAACAAAAAACAAAAATAAGAATTCAACTTTGACACTCTGTATCTCAGAAACGAATAACTTTCGGACTCGCTTTCGGACATATATTTATACGAACTTTTCTCCTTATTTTAACGTCAGCAACATGCTCCTGGATTTTCTACACGTACTTAAGAAACACCCTTTATATACATATCCAACCTTGTTCAAATTAGCAAATAACTAGCAGTATTTTCAACTCGATTTTCAACGCTCTTCCAGATGATATAGAATGATAAAAAAAGAAATGAAAACAGAGAAAAACGATTGACCATATCGCATTTTAAAGTTTGAACGAGATTTTTTTACATGAAAACCTTTTATCATGTCCATTATATTTTTTTCTGTTACTTATATAATATAGAAAGATTAATTTCAGATAAAAAATGCTTTAAGGGTTTTTTTTTTTTCGGTCGAAAATACTGACAGTTTGGTATTTGATTATAACAAAGTATTACCCATGCATCCCCGCGGACACTCGATTTGGATAGATCGCGTAAACTCATCGAGATACACACCCTGTATATCAATGATATGAAATTTATAAGAGCTGAACTCGGAGCTCAATAAAGATTCATAGCTCATATCGGTTATAAGAATTAGAGTAGATATTCCGCGATAATTGAGCGACATGAAAATATAAATAATGTCATGTATAATAGATACCCACCGCAACAAAACATTGAGGCTCTTTATTCACACCAGCGAGCGCCAATTCTGTCCACCCACTAAAAATAATCACTCATCACCGACCGATCGTCTTTCATGCTCGTATCGCATCACACAATGCACCCAATTTAATAATTCAGTCCAATTTTTGCCTACTCCGTTCGCAATCTCGAGCTTTCCAAAGCTTTCTGCAACCTTCTGATTCCTGCCTCACCGAGTCGCTGCACTCTATACTATACATACACGCGGTCCCAAAAAGAAAATGATCGATAACGACGTCGCAATGACGTCACAGGAAAACCACTGCTTGATCAAAAGCTCTCCTCTCGCCTTAGCACAGCAGCTTTCCAAGGCGGCGTTGTCAAGCGGACGGAAATCACGGGAGTTTGCTGAATAAGTTGTAGCAAAGCAAGGTGAACGTCAACGTAGCCATAGCCAGAATCCAGAATGATTGTGTTGTGGTTATGTGTTGTGTAATTGTGTATTTTCGGTTTTTGTTGGTAAAGTGATTTTTTTTTCAAAGGTAAGCTTATAGCGTAAGCGTAATATATCAATCAACGCTTATAATAATAATTGTTATATTATATAGATAGGCATATCATATAATATCAATATACGAGGTAGAGCAGAGTTTTTTATTAAACTTACACCGCGGTGCCGGTACCCGTGGAAGTATCTACCTATATAGAAAAGTGAAAGGTCGCCGACTTTTCTACGGTTCTAATGAGATCAAAGAGTTAGTGAGTGTAGCATCACCCACCAGGCGAATGGATCTTCTTTGGATATGGAATATCTCTGAGCATCAGCGTATGTATTGATGCATCCGGCCAAAAACTTCAAATTTGAATAAGGCATTTGACCTTGAACAAAAATTCGCCTGCGCCGCATTTTTTGTGTATCCTCTAGAAATAACTATAACTATCTATCCAGTTATCTACGCTTGTATCTACGTTTATTAAATGTTGTATGTTCCAATGTCCTGGGGCTTGAGCAACCTCAGAAAATACTATATACAGGGTGTTTCATAAGTGAACGATAATCCTAAAGGGCGATGATCCTTGGATGATTTTGAGGAGAGAAGTTCATATATCAACATATGTCCTGAACCTCTTAGTTTTTGAGCTACAGGGTGTTGAAATCAGAAGCGTACAGCGTTTTTTTTAAACTAAACATTCAATATCAGGTCTACGAGGACATCACTGGTAAAAGTAAAAGTTTGATTTTCGTCCCAAAACGAAATGTGTTTCCACGTATAGTGGGTGTCTACTGAATTACCAAAAACAATATCCAAGAACTGAAGGAACAAAATTCTTTGGTTTTCATTTTTTTACGCGAAAACGGTACGTTGCATGAAAGTAAGTCTTGAAACCAAATTTGCTCCAAAATGAATAAGAATTGAAAAAAAATCTGGTTCTCAGAAAAATCAGTGGCGTACTATTTTTTTCTTCAAAAATTGTCAGTTCAAACTCCGTACGGATGCCACTGGTGGGAATTTTTAAATATCTTCCACGTAAAATAATGCTCCTTAATGATGAAAAGGTGAAAAGGTGTATACAAAATATCATAACAATATCTAAGAGTGATAAAAAATTATGATGAAAAACTCATTTTTTTCTTGAAATTTCATCACCCTGTAGCTCAATAACTAAGAGGTTTAGGACATATTATGTTGATATAAACTTTTCTCTTTGAAATCATCCAAGGATTATCGCCCTTAAGGATCAGCATTCAATTCAGAAACACCCTGTATATACTTAATTCATGGGAAATAAATGTAAATTATTGAGGACATAAAAAATAAAGGAGAGGAAATTAGAGGACATAAATGAGGAAATATGTTTAGGGAATTGAGAGGATGGAAAATATGATATCAGATGAAATAACAGGAAGTTAAATCAGGTGAAATGGTCTAAAAGGAAAATCAATGGAAATGATAAGAATCAGAGAAAATGAGAGGAATTAAAAGAAATGAGGAATTTCAGCCTCTGAGAAAATACTATTTCTTCTCATAGGAAATTGATAGAAAATAATATAGTGGAAATTGATTTTATGTAATGAAAGATAATGAAATTGAGAGAATTTGGCAAGCACTTGATACATGGGAACTGAAATAAATAGGGAAAAATTTAATATTGCATACACAGCTTATGATTTGTATGTTTAAAATCCGGACTGAATTTTTTTTAAATATTTTTGGTTTGAGACATTTAATTTGTTTCATCTTTTACTAGATCTTTCATCATCTACACACTGAAACAAAACATGTACTTAGATATTTGCCAAACCTGTCCCAAATAATGATTGTAGTTTATAATGGAAAAAAAAGGTTTCCTTTATTAAATCAAAAAACATATATCTTGAGCACTAATATTTTTTTCAAATATTGGGTCTTTCTAGACTAGTCTCCTGGAATCAGAAAGAAAAATAATGTCCCTTTGATAGGCAACTAGTACCTGTTGAATATTCCACATTCAATTGCATTCAACCATTCTATTGAGTTCTTACAGGCCTCAAATGTGTTTTAATGCAAACTATTCATCATTGCTTTTTTTGAAAAGTACCTAACCAATATCACAGATATTAATTGGGTGTCATGCAGGAAAATATCTTGGAAAATAGTTGATATCTGTTCATTTTCCATGCTTTGAGGAATAATATTTGATTCCATCAACCTTGGAGGCCCTTGCATGTTTTGCCAATAGTGCATTCACATCAAGTTTCACTGTTGCTAACTGCCTGAAGAACAAAAAATAATCATCACAATGAAACAAAATGCAACTGATCTTACTTTATATAGGGGGTTATCTCAGGGACACTCCACTTTGTCTTCACTTGAAACAATGTCTTGAATCTCTCATTGATATTCTCAGGCAAGCTGGTTTCATCAAATGCAAAGATAATATTTGGGTCAGAAGTTTTATCAATAACTGCTAACCCATATAGCATTTCTTCATCACATATCATCCCCTCAGGTACAGAGTCTTTCCAAGTTTGCAAAAATTCATTAAGTTCAAATCTACCAGTACCATGTAACAAAACTTTTGCAAAAAATGTGCAAACCACATCTTCCTTGTAGCGATACAGCTGTAGACTGTCTATGAGCTTTGATTCTTCAGTGTATTTATCAAACAAACTAGAGATAACCTCTCTGGGAGCCAAATCTTTCAGAGCTTCTATTGTTTCGTCAAAGTCTATTTCATCTAATTGCCAGGAATTTTCTTCTACCAGTTTCAACATAAGCGATAACACCCGGAAATGGTACTCCAAGTCTAATAATCTAATTTTATTATTCAATTCTAGGACAGTCATTGATTCCAATGCATCTTTCAGTTCTTTATTTGAAGCTTGTACTTTATTACTAAGTTCTTCAAATGTTAACAAACTGTTCTGATCTACTTCAAATTCAACCTCAGGACCTTTATAAACTGATTTATTGAGTATCTCATGCAACTTTTTCAAATGAGGTTTGCCAACAACAGCTTCCAAATAATCATAAAATATGCTACTGACCAAAATATTATTGATTCGTGGGTCCTCATTTTCTTCGATTTCATTGTTGAATTTCAAGTGTTTGACAAGCAGTAAGCTATTGGACGTTTCTGCTTCTGTAACATGGAAAGTATGTGTTTCTGAACAAATAACAACTTCATCATCATCATCCCCCTTGATATACAGAGTATTACCCTCTGTAATATCATTCAAAAGATGGGAATCAAGTTGTAGTAATTTGTAATTGTTGTCATGAAGGTTTTCTGGAGTGAAACGAAGTGTTTGTGCCAGTGGCCTGACATCATTTGTATTCAGTTTTGCTAACGTCAAAATTTCATTTATATCTTCCAAATTTCGCCTGGAATGAACAATCATTAAAAAAGTATTTTCAAACTATTCACTGCTACTAACACATGCTGGCAATCCATTTATTTACAATAAAGAAACTGTTACCAAAAAGAAAGTGTCAAATAACGAAATAACATAACCTCACAAAATTCGCGGCAAGCAACGTGAACTTGAATCCTGGTAGCTAGCTGAACCACCGACGGCACAAAAGGTATATGATGCCAAACTGCCGGCGGCCGGCGCACAGAAGACCAATCGGGAAATAGAGTCCCTGTATCAGAGATCAGTCAAAGGGTCCGGACACAAAATTCACAGCTGTTGGGGTTTTTAATATTTTGTTCCATTTGGTTTGCCCACCTGACAATGTGACGAAACACCATAGTCGTTCCGCCCGCTTTTTTAATTATTTCGAATTTCTGTCACTGTCACTTTGAAATTTTATGACCGCCAGAATTTAGCATTTTAAATTATTTCAATGTCCTGCTGCGTACATTATTGCGATAATTCATTAGAGAAGGGATTCAAGTTATTCAATTTTTCAAATGATCCTTTGAAGATAATGTCATGGAAGAAGCAATGAAACTTCCAGAATTGAAAATTAATTTCAAGAAATCCGCAATATGTGAGGTGAATGTTCGACTTGTAAAAACAGTACAAAAAAGATGAATTTTAGGCACATTTTGTTGATAGAGATTCTTTCAATCTGATGAATTTCAAATTGAAAGAGTCTGCTGTGCAGTTAATTTATAAAATAGAGACGTTCAAAAAAAGAGTTCCGTCGTCATTGTATTGGGAATTACTGTATGATACGATCGCAGAAAAAGAAAATGAGAATGAGATGATGCGGAAAGAAATTGAAAGTTTAAAATCAAATCTAGAAGATTTAGAGAAATTGCTATGTCATCAGTCCACGGTGTTTTTAATTCAGATCAAATTCAAAATTTACAGGTGAATGTAGACTGCAGGAAGAGGTGGGAAACCGACACAATTAAAATTATATTTGAAACAATTATATTTCTTCTATTTTTTTATATCCCAACAGAAAACAACTATATTTTCTATTGGCTATATGTGATACCACGTAGAACACTTGAATTATCTTTCCTATATCTAATGAAGTGAAGAAATATCTGATGACGAAAATTTGCAATAGTCATCTCGGGAATTGATGATGAAATTATCAATTCGAAATTTGAACACCCTGTTGTTCATTATTTGAAAATCTAATAGTTATTCTAGTTAAAATAACCCTATGACTCACTTCTACCTACGGCTATAGCACGCGTGCACGAAGACCGACCCTGGAGGCAAAATATTGAAACACAACCTCATTCTTCTGTGAATTATTGAAACACAACCTCACTTTTTTATTTGGTTACAGAGGAATCATAAAAGGTTGAAATAGTTTTTCACAATATTTTGGCATACGAATCGTGTTTCTTGCGTTATTCATTAATTCAAGCATGCCTTCGCATTGTGATGTTGTACAATGCACAAAAAATGCAGCAAGAGACTAGGGAATATGATTTTTCAGGTAAATAGTAATCTCACATAGTTAGCATTATGAAATGTTGTCATTCCTTATTAAAATTCCTTCTGCCTTCTGCCACTTCTGCAATACAAGCTAATGCTGCTAATAGATTGAAAATGTCTACAACACACACGGTCGTCAGCATGTCAGACCAGTCCTACCGATTGATTGCATGAATCCAATCTTCTTGCATTATTCTAGAAATTTCAGCCATTTCAGGTATATTTCTATTAGCTGATCCTATTGCAGAAAGAATTCCGATGAGAAATCAGAGAAATAACCAACTTTCAAAAATGAAAACTATATGTGAGTGACTAGTAGGTACTTACTTTCGAATCATAATGTACCATCCGGATTTCTTCATCTTCCGCTGCAGTTTTTGTGCATTTTACAACAGCACAATGTGATGGCATTAGCGAATTGATGAATAGCGGAAAAATACGATTCATATGCCAAAATAATTGTGGAAAAACTATTTAGATCACTTGTAAACAAATATGTTTTGCCTCCAGGGTCGGTCATCTGACAGTTCTTGCACGCGACCTATGAACGGTTTGACAAATAATCTAACCCTCAAAATTGATTCTGACAATCAATGATACTAGGGGAGTTGAAGAGACAGAGCTCGATATATATCTCTTATTCCTTTATTCAATCATCAATGCATTTTCTGAAAACAGAAAAGGACAGAAGTATAGCTGTGTCCGGACTCTTGTCTAAGGTATATACAGGGACTCTATCGGGAAATATCGGTAACTTCAAAGCCTATGTGTTGCAGGAATTCGTTTTGCCCAAACATATGTATAGGAAGGTATTTATAGGAGACCAATCAGAGCGATTTGGGCAATGGCGGTAAATTCAAATCACTGATATTGGCGGTAAATTCGAATTACGGATGTTTTCACATGATAGTTAATAATAGCCAATACCCTTAATAGGCTTAGAATCAAGTCTACTGACAATTTTCGGCTGTGAGATCGAAATAGCGAATCACTATCGGCCTCAACTATAAGTCCCTTCACAGTACTTGTATCAGGGAGGAAGGAAAATATCCCGTAGCATTGATTGATTGATTGAATGATTAATAGCAGAATGATCAGTCAGGGTTTGAAGCCCAAAACACTGCAGCCTTTGGGCCTATTGTATTCCTGATCATGCTGTTGACTTAGGTGAACAGGTTCGCTACCTTGATGAGGTTTAGCAGCCTCTTCACCAGATCATTCTTTGAAAATGCCTCTTGAGAGTTTACTGCTCCCAGAAGGTTGTATCTCCAACGCGCTAGTGCTTCGCACTCCAGTATTACATGGGTGGCAGTTTCCTCCTCCTCATTGCATAGTCTGCATATGGGTTCGTCTGTATAGATGCCCATTTGATGCATATGTTTCCTCAAGGGGCAGTGACAGGTTATTAGTCCCCTCACTTGTTTGATCTGACTTCTGTTTAGGCTCAGAATGTCGTTAGTCACTGTTTTGGACAGTATTCCAACCATCAGTTTACTGTGTCTTTGTCCTGGGACATTGTTCCAGTATGCCTGATGTCTTTTTTGCATCCACCTTGCCAGCCAGCCGCGTATTCAATTCCCTTATGCCCTGGCACCCATTGAAGAGTTACCTTGTTGTGGTTAGCCAGGGTTAGCAGGCTTTGAAAGCAATCCCAGACCAATTTTGATCTGATTTTATTGCATGTTAGAGATTGAATGGCCGCCTGACTATCTGAGCATATGAGGATTTGTTTACCTCTGTATCCTCTTACGATATTCTCTCTCAGGCATGCCTCAATAGCATGCACCTCTGCCTGGAATACTGAAGCATACCTCCCCAAGGAAGCACACATCCTGGTTCTGGGTCTATCTCCATATATTCCGGCTCCCGTGCCCTAGTCAGTCTTAGAACCGTCAGTGTACCATACTAAAGTGCCTTCCTGACAGTTAGTCAAGACCCTTTCATCCCAGTAGAGCTGAGTGTTGAAGGGTCTGTAATAGTTATTTCTAGGCAGCATTTTGTCCCTTCCCATATCCATTAGTGGGCTTGAAACTTGGCTGATTATTTTTGTATGTCCCAGGGAGTCACCCCGAGCATACCAGTTGCCGGTACACTCCAGTCTGTATGCCCCCATCCTCGCTTCCGCCTTGATGAAGATTTCAAGAGGTGGAATATTGAGTATGGTTTCCATAGCAGCGGTAGGAGTGCTGCGCATAGCACCTGTGATGCAGAGACAAGCTAATCTCTGGAGTTTTGAAAGCTCCATTATAGCTGATCTCTGTTCAGTCTTAGGCCACCAGACAAGCGATCCATATACAATCATTGGTCTCACCACAGCAGTATATAGCCAATGTACCATGCGTGGTTTCAGTCCCCATGTGTTACCAATCGCTCTCCGAGAAGCCATTAGTGCCATTTTGCCTTTGCTGACAGTCTTTCGCAGTTGAGTATTCCAGGTAAGCCTAGCATCTAGGGTTACTCCCAGATATTTAACCTCCTGTGTCATACTTAGCTGTGTGTCAAAAAGTCTGGGAACTTTTAGTTTGTCCAGTTTCTTCTTTTTCGTGAAGACCACAAGTGCAGTTTTACTAGGATTGACCCTGAGGTCTGCCTTTTTTTGAGTTCCAGTAAATCAGCAAGTTTTCAAGGATTTTATTGACAGAAACTGTACAAATTATTTTATATTTTCAAAAACTATCAATGTCAAAATAATAAAATATAATGAGTGTTTGAATGAGTTTTCCTGTTCTTCCAACACTCTCCCTCAGGAAAAACTATTCAACTTCATAAACTTCGAAATCATGGAACGAAAATAGGCATCTCCTAAGGGCTTGGTTAATACATCTGCAATATTATCTTTGGACGGTATATATTCTATATCAACTTCTCTTCTGATAACTTTTTCTCTAACGAAGTGATAATGCACGTCGATATGTTTGCTTCGTTGGTGTACTACCGGATTTTCTGACAAATGGATTGCTGCCTGATTATCACAATACAACATAGGTATAGTAACATTTCCTAAATCTCTTAGTACGAATGACATCCATAAAGATTGTCTGCAAGATGTTGAAATACTCATATATTCAGATTCAGTCGTAGAAACAGCAACACTTTGCTGCTTCTTAGATGACCAGGAAACTACTGCATTGCCAAAACAACCAACATATCCAGTTATAGATCGTCTGTCAGATATTGAACTAGCATATGATGCATCTGAATATATACGAATCAGAGGTGAATCAGTTTTCTTGTAATATAGCCTCATCCCTATGGTACCTTTTATATACCTTAACAGGTGCTGTACTAGATTGCCATGTATGGTGTTAGGGTCACTAGAGAACTGGGATAGTACATTAACCGAATAAGCTATATCTGGTCTTGTCCCAATAGCAAGATACAGTAAGCTTCCTACTTTGGATTGATACATTTGTTTATTAATCCTCACATCAGTAGGTTTAGCTTTTTCGGGAATAGAACCACGATCCATCGGAGTCTTTGCAGGTTTACAGTTAATCATGTCATATCTATCAAGAATTTTATTGATATAATTCTCTTGACATATTGT